GTATCTCTGTAATACCTTCCTTTTGTAGTTATCCAATAAAAGACCAAACTGTCATTCGCTTTTTTACTCTTTTTTTTGTTGTCTGACAATAAAAAAGCCCACCATAATACACCTTTTGGCAAAGCTCCATTTTCAAAAAGAAATTTTATGAATATTTAGTCAAGCAACTTAAATGAACCGTGATTATCAGCTTGAAGATCATGATCTGAAATGTATAATCACCCAAAATATTGAAATTTAGAATAAATTTTCTTATTTTAAGAACACCCGAGTATAAATTGATAAAGAAATCGATTTAATTTTGTATTGTTGGATGTTTTTTTTATTAATCTTTATATCCCAGAAAAACATTACGTATTGAGAGATATGCAGCAGCAAAACAATTCCAGTATGAATTTTTTGTGGGTTCTTCAGATAAAAAATAAGAATTAAGATTTGGTTCAAGCATTTCATCGAGCAGTTGGTGAACATGACCAAACTTGATTTTAAATTTCATAATCAAGTGCCTTGGTATAGCTGTAAATCAAATGCAAATAAGGAAGTAAAACTCGTGAAGAAACAAATGAGCAGATGAGCTTCACTTGGTAAAATAAATTTGAGACGAAAAACATATAGTAAAAGAAAAAAAAATTGATTTTCATCGGTTCATATTTATTTTATACCCATAGACCATAATCTCCTCTCTAAAATATCTAACAAAATGATCCTCCCTTCATGTATTTGGTAGGAGTGTGAAAACTAATGAGTTATTTCAATATACTGATTCAAACAAGAAGTTCCAGAGAGACCGAGGTCTTTAATCGTAATTCTCTTTTTTAAACCTAAGCAACAACTTAATATCTGATTAAAAATCCAAATTACACCACGAAACCAACAAAGAGTTTATTTTAGTAGACGAATAGGGATTAACAAAATCAAATAGAAAGAGAACAAGGAGACAGAGCCTGTCATCGACGTGGGTTCCTCACTCCTAACCTAACCTCCAAATAAACCAATTGAAACAAAAGAGTACCTCAAATCTGAAGAAGGTTAAGCAGCAAATGAAAACTAAGAAAAATCATTGAGTTTAATTATGCTAACAAAGAAAACTGGTTATAGTTTGTCGACCATAATGATGCTTCCAAAGAAAACAGCTAAGGTTTGTCGACCATCGCCTTGCTTGGTTCAACGGAGGAAAAATTAGGGGAATTTTTTTTATAAACTGTTGAAGAACATACAGATAATGAAATCAAGAAACTGCAAAAGGTGTAAGATGCAAGCAGAAGGCGTAACATGATAAGCCGATGGTTGCAATTAAAGCAGCAGTAAGTCTCAAGTTGATGCTTGTACAGGTATTTTAGAGCGGGAAAGAGGAAGATAGAAGACACCGACGTTAATATGAAGCTCTAATTCTGAGTTTGTATACACGTGGAGAGATGTCTGCAAGAGTGACTCAGCCACCGAGCATGACAACGGTAAAGCTAGAAGCAGCTGGTGGCAAAGCTAGGAGCAAAACCAACCGTGAAGTCTCCTATGGCGGTTACAAAGTTCCAATCGGTTGCGGTGAACAGATAGCCAAGCTGCTGACTACAATATACGTTCAAATTTGCCGCCTACAACATTTTTATTGGAGGATGAAGTAGCTTATGGACGTGGACATAAACACAATTCTCTAACATATAGGTAGTGATATATAAATATATATATATATATATATATATTAAAGTTGTCCAACCTTAGGAACAATAAAGTTCCTAAGGGGTTGGGGCCCCTGTTTATGGGTTTCATTGTAATTTCAACTTCGTGGGCATTTTATGGACTTATGAACATTCTTTAGACAAGTGTTTATCATTGTTGCATTTGTCTCGCTGTATCACTGTCTCCGATGCTTCTCGGTTTTCTCCCACCGCCTTATCTTCCTTCTCTAATAATATCTTGTTCTTTCTCTTGCTTTCTGGATGGTTCCGTATGTCTTCCATCTTCGATCACACGTCAAGAGTTCTGATTCCAGGAGGAATTGGTAGAGTCGGTAGTTCAACCGACATCGCTCTGTCAAACTTCTGCCTCACCTTCGCTTGTAAGTCTTCCATCTCTTCTTTATTATTTGTTTTATAAACTTGAACCCACCGGATACTATCCCTTCTTTTCCTTCCCCACTCATCGAAAATTTTTTCTCTCTTCAACATCAGACGAACCCTAATTGTTGGGTCCGCTTCCTTCCTTCTCTCTCCAGTGACCGCTCAGACTGACGATTGTCGGGCACTATCCCCGCCGTCATGTCGATTACGCTTCTTCTGTCTTAGATGCTTCTCGGTTCAGCGTGACCAATTGGTATTTGATTTCTCCCACTAATCGAATCAATTGGTGCCTTAAAGAGCTAGAGACGGAATGAGATCGAAAGTGGTGAAGGCAGCAGATGTGGCGCCGCTGTTGCTGGCCAGTGACGGCGTCACCGGCATGTCGATTTCTGCCAATCCGTCTCCATCTGGTATGCTTCATTCGTTGGTGATGGAAGAGAAACAACACCTATACCCCTGTGTGGGTTGCCTTTTGATTAAGAAAAACCAGATAGGTGAAGAGACTGCTGGAAGAGAAGTCACACCCACACCTTGTGTTGGATTCCATCTAATTTATAAGGTTTTGTGAACAATCTTTTCAATTTTCTGCATACAAAGCTTTGATTACATTATTTTTTTTAATTTTTGTGCTAAATTGAAGGTTTGGGGTTCTTGATGGCTACTGATGCACTTCCAGTTGCTTACGGAACTTCTCATGTGGCATTGGTTCATAGAGCCAATCATAAGTCTGATGAGGTATTCATTCACTATCAACTTATATCTTCAATTTCTTCAAATTTTTCTCTTTTTAGATTTATGTTGACATCATACTGACCATCTGTTTTACAAGTTATATGTTTATCAAGTTTGATTTGGATTTTGGTCCCTTTGATTAGGGCATCGTCGGACAAAGGAGCAGAAGAATCGGCGACAGAAGAAGAGGAAAGATATGAAGGGTATGAGGTAGAGATTGAGCAAACTTATGGTTTCAAATTCGCGAAAGGTAGAGATGGTGGAACTTACATTGATGCAGTTGCAACCGGAGGAAATGCGCATAAAACTAAGATGTTTACAGTTAGGGATAAAGTTCTGGCCACCAGGTATTCGATGAAATGCCTAACCCACTTTTCCTGTTTTTCTTCTCTTGGTTTTAGATGTAGTTTATGATTTCACAACCGGATTTCATATCATTTTATTGGATTCGATGGCATTTTGTTGGATTTCATATCATTTTATTGGATTCGATGGCATTTAATAATAAGTTTTAATGTTTCTTATATTTTTAATGAATTCATTTACACCTTC